ATTCATTAAAAATCCTACAATGTGATTTTCTGGAAAATATTTTCTCATTTTGTCTGTCATAGTTGACGTGTACCTATGATGAAAATTACAGGCCTCTCTCATCTTTTTAAGTGGGAGAACTTGCACAATTGGTGGCTGACTAAATACTTTTTTCCCCCACTGTAGGTACACTTTAACTGTGAGAGACGGAATCTAAAACAAAAATCCAGAAAATCACATTGTATGATTTTTAAGTAATTAATTTGCATTTTATTGCATGACATAAGTATTTGATACATCAGAAAAGCAGAACTTAATATTTGGTACAGAAACCTTTGTTTGCAATTACAGAGATCATACGTTTCCTGTAGGTCTTGACCAGGTTTGCACACACTGCAGCAGGGATTTTGGCCCACTCCTCCATACAGACCTTCTCCAGATCCTTCAGGTTTCGGGGCTGTCGCTGGGCAATACGGACTTTCAGCTCCCTCCAAAGATTTTCTATTGGGTTCAGGTCTGGAGACTGGCTAGGCCACTCCAGGACCTTGAGATTCTTCTTACGGAGCCACTCCTTAGTTGCCCTGGCTGTGTGTTTCGGGTCGTTGTCATGCTAGAAGACCCAGCCACGACCCATCTTCAATGCTCTTACTGAGGGAAGGAGGTTGTTGGCCAAGATCTCGCGATACATGGCCCCATCCATCCTCCCCTCAATACGGTGCAGTCGTCCTGTCCCCTTTGCAGAAAAGCATCCCCAAAGAATGATGTTTCCATCTCCATGCTTCACGATTGGGATGGTGTTCTTGGGGTTGTACTCATCCTTCTTCTTCCTCCAAACACGGCGAGTGGAGTTTAGACCAAAAAGTTATATTTTTGTCTCATCAGACCACATGACCTTCTCCCATTCCTCCTCTGGATCATCCAGATGGTCATTGGCAAACTTCAGACGGGCCTGGACATGCGCTGGTTTGAGCAGGGGGACCTTGCATGCGCTGTAGGATTTTAATCCATGACGGCGTATTGTGTTACTAATGGTTTTCTTTGAGACTGTGGTCCCAGCTCTCTTCAAGTCATTGACCAGGTCCTGCTGTGTAGTTCTGGGCTGATCCCTCACCTTCCTCATGATCATTGATGCCCCACGAGGTGAGATCTTGCATAGAGCCCCAGACCGAGGGTGATTGACCGTCATCTTGAACTTCTTCCATTTTCTAATAATTGCGCCAACAGTTGTTGCCTTCTCACCAAGCTGCTTGCCTATTGTCCTGTAGCTCATCCCAGCCTTGTGCATGTCTACAATTTTATCCCTGATGTCCTTACACAGCTCTCTGGTCTTGGCCATTGTGGAGAGGTTGGAGTCTGTTTGATTGAGTGTGGGACAGGTGTCTAGAACAGGAGGGCTTCTTAAAGAAAAACTAACAGGTCTGTGAGAGCCGGAATTCTTACTGGTTGGTAGGTGATCAAATACTTATGTCATGCAATAAAATGCAAATTAATTATGTAAAAGTCATACAATGTGATTTTCTGGATTTTGGTTTTAGATTCCGTCTCTCACAGTTGAAGTGTACCTATGATAAAAATTACAGACCTCTATATGCTTTGTAAGTAGGAAAACCTGCAAAATCGGCAGTGTATCAAATACTTGTTCTCCCCACTGTATATTTTCTTAAATCCCATGTGTATTGGGTATATGTTGTGAAATTGTTAGATATTACTGCACTGTCGAAGCTAGAAACACAAGCATTTCGCTACACCCGCTATAACATCTGCTAAACACGTGTATGTGACAAATACAATTTGATTTGATTTGATTGTAGGAGAAAGGAATAACGTTGTGGGAGAGACACAAAGTGAGTAAAAAACACCCTAAATATGTTTAGAACTACAAATGAACTTTCTTCTGTCGATTCTTGTTTTTTTTTATGTCACATTTCCAACCCTCCCCCTTTATCCGGGCTTGGGACCGGCAAAAGTGACCCAAAAGAGACTTTTTTATTTTATTTTATTTTATTTTTCTTAAGTTTGGTTTGGTTTTTAACCTTATGGTCCACTTAGGAGCCTACAACAAGTCACAGTAAAACATGAAAATGTTTAACCATAACATTTGTATACAATCTACATTAAAAATCTAAATGGACCAAAAAGAGACAATAGAAAAAACTGTCAATGGCAATGTGAGAAAATGATGGTAGTGACTAGAAAATGACTAGTCTGGCCCTAATTCAGGTTAATTGTTGTTGTTTTTCAGACCCCCCTCCACAAACACACAGGCTGTGCTGGCTCACAGAAAGAGTGGGTCATCGTCATTTTGGGTTCTCTATGGCAGGTGTGCCAAAAAGCTGCAAAACATTATTAGGCAGCTGGTGCTCATAGCAAGCCTCACCAGACAGCTTCAGTCCATATTGAATGTACAGGATGGAGTTAAGGGTCTGCAAGGACATCCGATTTCTAAATTTGCTTTTTACCACACTCATCTGGCTGAATACTCTCTCGACTTCAGCATTCGAATGTGGCAAGGACAACACAGACACAGCAGCCATGGCAGGTTCTTGAAACGGGTTGATATCAGCTGCATCCCTGAACTTCCAAATCTCACTCCAGAAGCCCAGTGTGTTTTTTGTCTCATTCCATTTACTAAGATGGATGGCACGCCATTGCTGGACAATCTTGTCTATCTCTGCAAGGGAGTAGCCAAGGAGCTTGGCTATTTTTTCTATTTCTCCAGGGCTCTTATTGTGCTTTAGAGTTTCCTCCACATTGAAAACTGACATGTACTGCAATGCTTCGATGTTGTCCGGCAGTCTCACCCTCAACTCATTAGTGAGGGAGATGGTGAAGGCTACACACCGCTTTCGGACATTGTTTTCATCCTCAGGCGCAAGGTGGAGCTCAGCTGCCTTTGACTCAAAAAGGTAACCAAGGTAAGGTTTGGGACTGATGTATCCATCTATTGGCCCTTTGAGTACATCAACATTTGCCAGTGGATTCAGCACCCTGCTGCTCACAGACTTGATCAGGCTAACCAAGCTGTCAAGTAGCTTAAGAGGATCTACTTGCTCTCCCTCAAAAGCCTTGATGGCCAACTGTACCTCACCCAGCACTGACTTCAAAAAAGTCAGATACAATATGTTTTGAGGATCACTGTACATGGAGTATATAACCTCAGCCATGTAGCAGTGTTCACTGGACTTGGTGACTGCGAAATGCAGCCTAAGCTCCTCCCACTGGTCCAAAATGCGTGAAACCGCGGGTTCAGTAGAGAGCCAACGTGTCGCACACACCTTGGTTATCTGTAAAGGTTTCTCCCCACAGTTGATGGTATCATATATGGCCTTGTAGGCCTCCCTGCGCTTTGGAGACACTGAAAACCAGTTATAAGTCTCCTGTATCAAGTACTCTACACTACGGGGGATGGTGTCATTGGAAGCATGACTTACAGCAAGCTGCAGAGAGTGGCACACACAGCGAATAAGAACCAGATCTTTGAGGCCATACTCCTCCTTCAGCACTTTATGGACCCCATTGTTAATCCCCGTCACAACAGAGGCATTGTCAGTCCATATCCCCAGGAGTTTCTCTTTTTTAAGACAACACTTCTCGAGGAAAGCCACAACAGCACAGGCTATAGATTTGGCATCTCCTCCCTCCAACTCAACAAGCCCCAGAAATGTTGATACAATTGTCTGCTTGGTGTCACTAAAGTACCTTATCACAACCCCCAGGTACTTAGAAACACTTACATCCGTGGACTCATCGAGGAGGAGGCTGAAACGCTGGTCACCCACATCTGCGACCAACTTTTTCAGGAAGTATGGTGCTAGAACACCATTAATAATTTATGTGCACTTTGTTCTGTGCATTTTGAAGTGGGTAGCAGCAGTGGAGTCTGAGAAAGCAGCTCTACACGCTTCTCCAATGTGATCACATGCCAGCATGGAACAGTGTTCAGCGATAGCTAATGCCATGGTGGCCTCAGCCTTTTTTGCAGAGTCAATTTTTTTAACCATAAATGGCAGCTTGTTTTGGGTGTAACTGTTATAAGGCTTTGCCTTTTGAGTATGTTTTTGAGTTGTCATGTGTTTTTTTACATCACTAAGTTTGGCGTAGAAATCAGCCTTACAATACAGGCAGTATGCCCGAGTATCATCTCCAATAAACGGCTTCAACCAGCCTTTGAATTCAGGGTTTTTGAGTGTACAGTTTAGACTGAGACATGATGAGCTAGCCAGCTAGATGTTTAGCTTTTGTCACAGAGAGGCACACACACAGTGGACGAGGTGAGTAAGTGACTGAGGCTGTGTGAGTCAAATGCAGTGATTTATTTTTGTGCAGTGATTTATTTTAGACAAAGAACATTTTACATTTACATCCAGCCCTGAATGTAAGCCAGGGCGGGATCAGCCAGTGGCGGCTTCCCGCATGCGCGATTAATTTGCAGTCTGGACGCGGAGGGGTGAACATCTCCTGCTCTGACTGCAGCTGGGAGGGACTGCTGCGCGAGGACTGGGCCGCCTGTGAGTGCTTTGGGACGGGGGTGGGGCACGGCAGCACCCGCTGCTCGTTGAGAAGAGTAAGAACGATATGTGCTTTCACGTCAGAGTCTCCAAAAGTCTCCAATAACACCAGAAAAAGTCGCTAGATCTGTCGCTAGTCGATTTTTTGAAAATGTGTCGCTAGAGGGGTCTGAATACTCGCTAAATATAGCGACAAAGTCGCTTAGTTGGCAACACTGCTCCAAAGGAACAGATAGCCAATTATAATATTAGTTTGGCTTGACAGTCGGGAAATATTCCCGCCTCAAGTCCAGGGCTATAAATCACATCCTTCAATGTACCAAACTCGCAGAGACACTGTGAACATGCTGCAAGATTAATCTACTGTAAATAACACTGCTGCACTCATGGCAGTGAGAGAGAGAGAGGGTGTGTGAGTGTGTGCAGTCTAAAATCAGAAGTGGGGGGGGGGGTTACTCTAGCAGCACAGTGATATCTATCTGAGGGCTGCAGGTTGCTGCTCCACTACTGTTAATGTATAGCACTCCACGTAGGGTCTTCCTTGCCTCAACCTTCTCCCCCGGAACACAGCAGCACCTCATTGACCTCCCCCTCGATGCCCCGGGAAAGCACACGCGGGAACACACCGCGCACACGACCCAACACAGTCACGACACACCAGGTTTAACATGAACACACCTGGGCAGGGAGGAGGGGGGCGACAGAGAGGAGGGAGTATATAATATGGTGACATACAAGATACAACTGGATAATACACCTAGGTCTACAGGCTTTGGACATTTTTTAAATGTTGATTTTGAAAATAAACCATGCTAGCCCATTGAAAGAGCCCATTGTCTGGCTAGAGTACCTCGAGGTGTCAGCAGCTTGCCAACTCTCTCCAGGAAGGCAGGAGGAAGACCGCTCAACCCCAAACCAGGGTCCTTACTGTCCACATGATGACATCATACTGATGGCCACCTGGACAGGTAAGAGAATACAATGTTAATCATGTGCATGGTAGAGGTTACACATTTGCTCTGGAAGTCACCTTCTATTTCCCCGTCCCACCTTAAATGTGTATTGTCTATCTCTTTCTCATCCCTCTTAGCCCCCCCAGCCATCCCTGAGCCACCTCCAGCACCGCAGGGTCCAGCTCCACCCCCTCCACCCTGGCTCCAGGAACGAAGTCCAGCCCTCCTCCACCCAGCCCCACCAGGAGAACTGACACTAGGACGTCTAGAGAGGGAGGGTGGGACAGACAGAGGTGGAGGTTAGAGGAGATAGAATATATTTAGCTGATTCATCAGACCTGAAGTGTCAAGTGAAAAAAATTCCTGCAGGCAAATAAAAGTAGATTTGAGAAAAAGTGTAAAACACAGACCGGTGTTTGGCAGGTATGTGGGGATAGGCACGAAGCGACTGACTTGCAGACACACCTACCTTTGTTGTGATTGGTGCCCACCCCTAGCAAGGAGTGGCAAGGAGATCAATAAACCCTTCAACTTCGGGACACACTCGTGACTTGAAGGAGGCAATTATGTTCCATATTGAAATAATAAAACAAGCATTAAATTCAAATTAACAAATTCCCCAAATGTATAAGTCAAAAATGTATGTAGCAACTAAAGATTATAGCTTTAAAGTGACTGTCCAGTGTTTCCAGATTTCTATGAAATATGACCTATAATTACAATACGAGTTAAATAGTTTTCCTTCCTATTTTTTTTTTTATTAAGCATGTTAAAAAGCACATTGTCTGTGTTGGAATGGTGTACCCCAACAACAGAATGGTATGGGCGTATACCGGTTTAAAAAAATATTCACGCGAGTAGACCGCTGATTGGCCAGCTCATCCTCCTAAACAGTATGACATTATACTCTATGAGGAAATAGCAAGCAATTTTGAAACAGTCTGTTTGATATACAAATTGAGATAGGGATTTTTAAGTGTTTTTTTTTCTTCCACTTATGATTTGACCACACATTTGAGTATAGAACGAGTCAACAACATTATTTGGGTATGAGTTAAAAGAATATGAACCTTTAAAAAGTGCGATTTTCACTGGAAAGTTACTATAAGACACAACACACTTGGAGTGCAACTCTATGTGCAGGGCTGTCTAGCTACTCCACATCCTCACACCCCCAGCCTTCTCTTCTTGAAGAAGCGTTCCAAGTACTCAGCAGAGCTGAACTCCTCGGCAGTGCGAGTTAGAACACTAATCTTCACTAGCTAGCTAGGTGTATCCTGGTGTATATCTGTAGGCTACTTGTATACAAACTGATATGTAAGGCAACTTCCGAATAGCTTTGAACAAGCTAGCTAAGATTCAGTCACTTGCAGGATATCATAAGTGGTAACCTACTAAGTTACAGTGCATAGATAGCAATTGTTGTATTGTCAATTTGTCAAAAAAAATGCCGTTCTCTAGCTAGAAATGGTTGCATTTTAAATCCCCTTCTTCCCCACATGGTTTGTTCACCCGGACATTATTCCCAGCTCTACACAACAACATTCCGATTGGATAGCGCTGAATAGGCGGAGTTCTTAGCCTTACGCTGATTTGCTGAGATTCTTGGCAGTGGCCTGTCATTGGCTGATGCAATTTTCGGATGTCTTTGAGTTCTGGTTTGTCAGTTATTATCTTCCAGACATCAAGAGGCTTCAGCATGGCTGTCCCAGCGGGGAGATCTGTTGTCTTCGTGACTGGAAACGCAAAGAAACTAGAAGAGGTGGGAAATGCTTCAGAAAATGTATTATCCTCTGTAGAAATGAACCTGGATTAACATTTAAACGTTCCAAAGTGAGCCGTTTATTAGAGGCTCCAGCCGACTCCTGAAGGAATGGAATGTCTGACAGCGGGAAATGCGGTGGTGGCCAAATTTTAGATTACACCTGCAGAGATCAAATGTTTTGATATATCATTAATCGCTATGTCAATGGCTTGTGCACATGAACTGGGTTACAGGAGTCTTGCATGTTTAACAGTAAAGCACCATACCAGCAGGTGGCATACAAGCCTTACACCAGGGATGGGCAACTTTGATGGGAATGGGGGCCACAAAAAAACCTGAACTCCTCATGGCTTGCGGGTCTGCGTACCCACATCCAAGCCCTAGCCTTTTGGGGGCCCAACGCAAAATGTTGTTGGGGGGCACCCATCCCCACTTTGCGAGCAAAACAATTTAGCGTTATTTTACCGTTAATTTCCTGCAATTCTACACATTTTTCCACTGGGCCTAGAGAAAATGTAGCAGTTTTAAAGCATGTCTCCTGCAATTCTACTCATTTCGCCATGGGACGGAGAGAAAAATGTGCAGTTTTACAGCTAATTTCCCGCAATTGTACACATTCTGCCATAGGGTGGATATAAATGTTAGCCGTTTTTAATATTTAAAAAATATATATTAAAAAAATTTTTTTTGCAGGCCTCCTGTAGCTCAGTTGGTAGAGCATGGCACTTGCAACGCCAGGGTTGTGGGTTCGATTCCCATGGGGGGGCAGTATGAAAAATGTATGCACTCACTAACTGTAAGTCGCTCTGGATAAGAGCGTCTGCTAAATGACTAAAATGTTTTTTAATATGATATCTGAGTGAAAGTGACTAACAAAATCAATGAAGGCCCCTGGGTCTGTAATTCGACCATGATTACTACAAGTTTAGATAGCTGGCTGCTAAACTAACTTACCAATCTAAAATATTTTCACGGACATGGGCTAATTGAGTGACTGACATAACAAGAGTAAAACTGCTGATGCACAATCACATTTTTAGATTGCACTATTCTAACTCTAAGCAGTAAATTGAGACCCCAACTGGGTTCATAAAAAAAAAAAACTTTTTGAAGGGGGGAATTGATCTGCGGGGGGCAGCGGGCCCGCCAGTTGCCCATCCCTGCTTTATACATAACACTGCAGACCAACTCACAAGTTCATGCCATCATAAAAGACTGCTGTTCTTTGTCTAACCAGGTGATTCAGATCTTGGGGGACAAGTTTCCCTACAAACTAGTGTCCAAGAAGATTGACTGTGAGTTAACTTTCTCAATGGAATGACGAGATAGATGTATACCTAATCAATACATCTCTGTTATGTCTTCATGTGGGACTAAATTACTGTCCATCTTTCTCAGTGCCTGAATACCAGGGGGAACCAGACGAGATCTCTATACAGAAGTGTAAGGAAGCAGCAAAACAGGTGTGTCATTGTGGACTGTTCTTTTCTGTGTGCTGTTGTAAAAAGGTCTGGATAAGTGATATGTGTATAAATGCTCATCTGACCTGGTCTGTCTGTGTCTATTCTCTCAGGTTGATGGGCCAGTCATAGTGGAGGACACCTGCCTGTGTTTCAGAGCATTGGGAGGTCTACCAGGACCCTACATGTGAGTAGGCCTCTATAACCTCTCTGTAGAGCCTGTGATCGGATGCTCTAATATGACAAATCATTTATTGAAAATGTGTCCTTTTTTTTGTGTGTGTGTAGAAAATGGTTCCTGGATAAACTTAGGCCTGAAGGTAAATGATGACTCATCTATGAATTAATGAGTACAGTTACTTAAATGTAATGTTTGAGTGCAGTGGAGGGTTCTGAGGGGAGGACGGCTCATAAAAATGGCTGGAACGAAGCTAATGGAATGGCATCAAACCATGTGTTTGATGTATTTGATACCATTCCAGCTATGACCACGAGCCTGTCCTCCCCAATTAAGGTGCCACCAACCTCCTGTGATTGAGTGTGTGTAACCCTCTCTCCTGCTTTCCAGGTCTGTATAAGATGTTGGCTGGGTTTGAAGATAAGTCAGCCTGGGCTCTGTGTACCTTTGCCTTCTGTCCAGGGAAAGAGGAGCCTGTACAACTCTTCAGAGGGATAACTGAGGTCAGAATATAGTTTCAAATTTAGTTTTAATGTAACGTGCACAAGTACAGTGAAATGCCTTTCTTGCAAGCTCCAAACCCAACAATGCAGTAATCAATATCAATGTAGCACAAAAAAAAAAAACGATAAATAGAAATAAGAAGAAAGTAAGAAGCTATATACCGAGTCAGTTCCAATACCATACTTACAATGTGCGGGGATACTGGAGTGATAGAGGTAGATATGTACACTGCCCTACAAAGGCAAAACGCAGTAACTACGTCATTTATTTTACTCCAAAATCTGACTTCAAAGTATTTTTCTGTCTAGACAGACAGCAATTTCTGATACTCTATGGTATATTCTGATCAACTGGCTTGTTCTTGTGTCAGGAAAACTAAATACCACATTAAATGATAATATACCTTGCCATTACAACAGATGAAAGATTTTTGACCAAATTCGTAGTTACTGCGTTTTGCCTTTTGTAGGGCAGTATAGGGGTAAGGTGACTAGGCATCAGGATATATGATAAACAGAGTAGCAGCAGTGTAAATTATGATTGTATGCGAGTGTGTGTATGTAGCGTCAGTATAAATGTGTGTGCATGTTATGTGTGTGTTGGAGTGTCAGTGTGCGTGAGTGTGTAGAGTCCTGTGAGTGTGCATAGAGAGTGTAAAAATAAAATACAAAGGTCAACTCAGATAGTCTGTGTAGCCACTCTGTTAGCTATTCAGCAGTCTTATGGCTAGACGCTGTTCAGGAGTCTGTTGGTGCCAGACTTGATGCACCGGTACCACTTGCCATGCGGAAGCAGAGAGAACAGTCTATGGATTGGGTGGCTGGAGTCTTCAACAATTTTCCGACCCTTCCTTTCTCACCGCCTGATATAGAGGTCCTGGATGGCAGGGAGCTCGGATGTACTGGGCTGTCCGCACCACCCTCTGTAGCACCATGTGATCGTGGGCGGTGCTGTTGCCATACCAAGCAGTGATGCAGCCAGTCAGGATGCTCTTAATGGTGCAGTTGTATACTTTTTTTGAGGATTTGAGAGCCCATGCCAAACCATTTCAACTTCCTTGAGGGGGAATCAGTCCACGATCAGCTCATTGGTCTTACTGACGTTACCCAGAGTGACTTACAGTAGTGACTGCATACTTTTTCGTAATTCTTTGTACTGGTCCCTGTGGGAATCGATCCCACCACCCTGGCATTACAAGCACCATGCTTTACAACTGAGCCACACTCACTCTGCATGCTTGCTTTGATAAACATATATTTTTTCCCTAACTGTTTAGGGGCACATTGTAGAGCCTAGAGGCCCAAGAGACTTTGGATGGGACCCCTGTTTCCAGCCAGACGGATTTGACAAAACGTAAGCAGGACTTTTATTTTACTAGCAGGAGTCTGTGTTTATGTATCACACTTTATTACTCTCCTACTATACCTCTAGGGGGCAGTAGATGTCTATTTTATGTATTGACAACATCAGTATGAAGAAAACCAATGAAAGTGATTATTGCCAGCTCATTGATTGTTGCTTCTCTCATTCTCTCCCTGGTCCCTGTAGTTATGCTGAGCTACCTAAGGAGGTGAAGAACACAATTTCCCATCGGTACCGAGCCCTGGCAGCCATGTCCGAACACTTATCCTCTCAGGCCAATGACAAAGGCACACCAGACGCCAAGAAGAAGAAACACAACGACTAACCACTGATCTAGGGTCAGTTCACCCTACCCCCATTCTTAACCTTAACCATCAGGGGGATACAAAACCTAACTGACTCTTTATCAGTGGTTAGGGGCAACTTCTACCTACTCTGACCAATCGCTCAACAAACAGTTGAGACTGAGCTAACCAATCAGACAGGGACAAACTCAGGGACAAACTTGTGCAGATTAGACAGTTCCACACTGGTCAGCAAGTTCTAACCTCATCTGCCAATGATTTAGACCACACTCCGTCCTCCATCATTTGTCTTAAAGAAAAAAAAATTGTACCTTCTCAAAAAATAAGGATTTGGTTGATTCTTTGTTCAGAGTCAAGTCGCTTGTGTTGAACATTGAATCTGCTTTTCTCAAACTGAAAGAGCTCATCAAATCAGGATTATGTGGGTTTTATGCACCAAAATGTGGTTCTAGTTCAAGACTTTCTGCTTTCTAAAGTGTAGTCCCCAAACCAAGACTGCTGTATTTGTGATTTGTTAGAGGCGGGTTCTGTGAGTGTGTGTAGTGCCCCAAGAGGAGTGCATAATAAAGCATAAATATTCTGTCTTTCTGAGTTTGATCTCTTTTTAAAGTAGTAACTCAATGTTTTCTCTCCTGTTTGTCACATTTTCACTCCCCCTCTCTTAGTCTTTTGCCCTTATCACATACCCCCCACTCCCCCCTCTCCAGCAAAGGTCTCAGGAGTGGATGTCTGGACAAACACTCATGAATGCAGCTGATGGCGAAAACAACTAAACTAACAAGTCAACCTGCACCTCCATTAAAATCAGTCAATGTCAGTCTATGTACAAATTCATACAAAGGTCTAATAAAGGTTATCTATTCTAAATAACAATGACTTGTTCGTTTTTGTGTAAAATCAATGACTTCTAGTAGGCACGCATGACATTAAGTCGCTTTGGATAAAAGTGTCTGCTAAATGGCATATATATATATATATATACAGTCAAAAGTTTGGACACACCTACTCATTCAAGGGTTTTTCTTTATTTTTACATTGTAGAATAATAGTGAAAACATCAAAACTATTAAATAACCCATATGGAATCGTGTAGTAACCAAAAATGTGTTAAACAAATCAAAATATATTTTATATTTGAGATTCTTCAAATAGCCACCCTTTGCCTTGATGACAGGTTTGTACACTCTTGGCATTCTCTCAACCAGCTTCATGAAATAGTCACCTGGAATGCATTTAAATTAACAGGTGTGCCTTCTTAAAAGTGAATTTGTGGAATTTATTTCCTTCTTAATGCGTTTGAGCCAATCAGTTGTTTTGTGACAAGGTAGGGGGGGTATACAGAAGATAGCCCTATTTGGTAAAAGACCAAGTCCATATCATGGCAAGAACAGCTCAAATAAGCAAAGAGAAACGACAGTCCATCATTACTTGAAGACATGAATGTCAGTCAATACGGAAAATGTCAATAACTTTGAACGTTTCTTCAAGTGCAGTCGCAAAAACCATCAAGCGCTATGATGAAACTGGCACTCATGAGGACCGCCACAGAAAAGGAAGACCCAGAGTTACTTCTGCTGCAGAGGATAAGTTCATTAGAGTTACCAGCCTCATAAATTGCAGCCAAAATAAATGCTTCACAGAGTTCAAGTAACAGACACATCTCAACATCAACTGTTCAGAGGAGACTGCGTGAATCAGGCCTTCATGGTCGAATTGCTGCAAAGAAACCACTACTAAAGGACACCAATAAGAAGAGACTTGATTGGGCCAAGAAACACGAGCAATGGACATTAGACTGGTGGAAATCTGTCCTTTGGTCTGGAGTCCAAATTGGAGATTTTTGGTTCAAACCGCTGTCTTTGTGAGACGCGGTGTGGGTGAACGGATTATCTCTGCATGTGTAGTTCCCACCGTAAAGCATGGAAGAGGAGGTGTTATGGTGTGGGGGTGCTTTGCTGGTGACACTGTCTGTAATTTATTTAGAATTCAAGGCACACTTAACCAGCATGGCTACCACAGCATTCTGAACCTATACGCCATCCCATCTGGTTTGGGCTTAGTGGGACTATCATTTGTTTTTCAACAGGACAATGACCCAACACACCTCCAGGCTGTCTAAGGGTTATTTTACCAAGAAGGAGAGTGATGGAGTGCTGCATCAGATGACCTGGCCTCCACAGTCCCCAGTCCCCTGACCTCAACTCAGGGAAAAAAGTATTTGATCCCCTGCTGATTTTGTATGTTTGCCCACTGACAAATACATGATCAGTCTATAATTTTAATGGTAGGTTTATTTGAACAGTGAGAGACAGAATAACAACAAAAAAATCCAGAAAAATGCATGTCAAAAATGTTATAAATTGATTTACATTTTAATGAGGGAAATAAGTATTTGACCCCTCTGCAAAACATGACTTTGTACTTGGTGGCAAAACCCTTGTTGGCAATCACAGAGGTCAGACGTTTCTTGTATTTGGCCACCAGGTTTGCACACATCTCAGGAGGGATTTTGTCCCACTCCTCTTTGCAGATCTTCTCCAAGTCATTAAGGTTTCGAGGCTAACGTTTGGCAACTCGAACCTTCAGCTCCCTCCACATATTTTCTATGGGATAAAGGTCTGGAGACTGGCTAGGCCACTCCAGGACCTTAATGTGCTTCTTCTTGAGCCACTCCTTTGTTGCCTTGGCCGTGTGTTTTGGGTCATTGTCATGCTAGAATACCCATCCACGATCCATTTTCAATGCCCTGGCTGAGGGAAGGAGGTTCTCACCCAAGATTTGACGGTACATGGCCCCATCCATCGTCCCTTTGATGCGGGGAAGTTGTCCTGTCTCCTTAGCAGAAAAACACCCCCAAAGCATAATGTTTCCACCTCCATGTTTGACGGTGGGGATGGTGTTCTTGGGGTCATAGGCAGCATTCCTCCTCCTCCAAACACGGCGAGTTGAGTTGATGCCAAAGAGCTCGATTTTGGTCTCATCTGACCACAACACTTTCAACCAGTTCTCCTCTGAATCATTCAGATGTTCATTGACAAACTTCAGACGGCCCTGTATATGTGCTTTCTTGAGCAGGGGGACCTTGCGGGCGCTGCAGGATTTCAGTCCTTCACGGCGTAGTGTGTTACCAATTGTTTTCTTGGTGACTATGGTCCCAGCTGCCTTGAGATCATTAACAAGATCCTCCCGTGTAGTTCTGGGCTGATTCCTCACCGTTCTCATGATCATTGCAACTCCACGAGGTGAGATCTTACATGGAGCCCCATGCCGAGGGAGATTGATAGTTATTTTGTGTTTCTTCCATTTGCAAATAATCGCACCAACTGTTGTCACCGTCTCACCAAGCTGCTTGGCGATGGTCTTGTAGCCCATTCCAGCCTTATGTAGATCTACAATCTTGTCCCTGACTTCCTTGGATAGCTCTTTGGTCTTGGCCATGGTGGAGAGTTTGGAATCTGATTGATTGATTGCTTCTTTGGACAGGTGTCTTTTATACATGTAACAAACTGAGATTAGGAGCACTCCCTTTAAGAGTGTGCTCCTAATCTCAGCTCGCTACCTGTATAAAAGACAGCTGGGAGCCAGAAATCTGTCTGATTGAGAGGGGGTCAAATACTTATTTCCCTCATTAAAATGCAAATCAATTTATAAAAATTTTTACATGTGTTTTTCTGGATTTTGTTGTTGTTATTCTGTCTCTCACTGTTCAAATAAACCTACCATTAAAATTATAGACTGATCATTTCTTTGTCAGTGGGCAAACGTACAAAATCAGAAGGGGATCAAATACTTTTTCCCTCACTGTATATATATATATATATATGCCATTTAGCAGACACTTTTATCCAAAGCGACTTAATGTCATGCGTGCCTACTAGAAGTCATTGATTTTACACAAAAACGAACAAGTCATTGTTATTTAGAATAGATAACCTTTATTAGACCTTTGTATGAATTTGTACATAATGTAATAATGGTGTACAATGCACAGGTCAGAATGAGTTTTATACACACTACAGTTTGTATGATGACCAATGATACAGTATGCAAGAAGTAGACTTTATTATTTATCCTTTGCCCCCCACCTCCCTTTCAACACCACATCAAAACACAATAAAAGCAGAACTCTGACGACCAAACAGTAGAAAAATAATTCCTCTATAAACATGTTCGTGGACCGTGCCACAGCAAAAGCCTTCCCACTGAAACAAGATACCTGCAGGGGGTTTCATTCATAACACAATTTGCTTGAAAAAGCTTCATCTCAATCACTGCTGTGGCCAGTTTTGGTAACTACTAGACCTACGCATTGATGAAGGTGGTGAATAATAGCATTCTAACCACTGTCTACCACACTAACTGCTCTAAAGCTGTCAGTCCTTGTAGGACAGACAAGAGAAAGTCATTTTTTTGTGGTGAGTTCCTCTACTGGTGGCCCAGCCTGACGTCGTAGGAGACAATGTGGAAGTTGTCCCAGGCGTGCAGCTTCCTTTGGGCAGGGTTGTAGTCCACCATGCTGTTGTAGCGGTACTTATTCCTGAAGGGTAGCGCCACCTGCTTCCCCTGGCCAGTAGCTGTGTCGAACATAAAGTTGATGGTGGTGTTAGGAGCCGTGTAGCTGGCAACTGTGTAGAGACGGCCACAGATGACGAAGGCGTTAGCCACGCTGTTCTTCCTGATGCTGGTCTCCCAGCTCCTCTTCACCTCCAGGCTGTGTGGGTCCAGCTGGGACACCACAATGGCTCCTTTAGCCTTGTTGGTGCTGTAGATGGCCCACAGGCCCTGTTCGTCCACCCCCAGATCCACGTCGGTGTAGCCGCCCCAGGAGTAGGGGAACTGGCCGTGGAAGCCGGCGTGGGGAAGGTCTCGGCGGGCGGCGATGCTCTCAGACGCCAGGTCGTACCTCAGCAGGGTGCGGCTGCGGCGGCGCTGGTAGTACAGAGAGCCGCGGTACAGAGTCGCTCCTGTACTCTCCACTGGCTCTGGCAACAGCAACACCTTGTAATAAATAATGATAATTCAGTCTGGTCAATGGTCACACTTTACATTATACAACAATATGTTATCATCCTTTAATGGTTAAGGTGGGTTGGTTAGGGGTAAGGCAATCTGATCCTAGATCTATGGTTAAGGTTAGCCTATAGGTCTATCCCATACCAGTCAGTCCAGTCACCCACCTTTGAGGGGAAGCCTTTAGAGAGCTGGTCCATGTCCTCGTAACCAAACAGCTGTCTGACCTCTGACCCCACTGTATTGATGCGCCACACCATCTTCCCTCCGTAGGGCACCACAGCCTCCGGGTCCTGCATCCACACCCCATACTTACCAGCTATACTGTCAGCCTTACGATGGGACACTGGCTCACCTATTGATATCAACTCCCCACAGCCTGGGAGAGAGGAGGGGGGGAGGGGAGAGAGAGAGAGAGGGCAGTTAGAGAGATGAAAAGAGAGATGGGTAGAGAGGGTGTGGGTAGTTATAGGGACAGGGTTGTTAGATGTCAGGGGTGAAGATGCTATTTTATACTATTGAGATGCACCCTGGAAGAGAGATAGACAGAGGAGAGAGGTGTGTGTAGAGATCTGTAGTAAATCATGTTTTTGGATAGGGGTATGGAGGGAAGAGGTCATGGCTGCTGAAAGATCTGAGAGATGATAATTTCTCATAATGGAGACAGATAGCAGGTCTACAACGGTTTGACATCTCTGCTAATTAACAAGCCCTATGAGAGTGTGTGTGGTACCGAGTTAGTAGAAGAGCATCTGAGCTGAGAGTCATCAGATACAGGAAGGAATCCTCCACCACTTCAAGCCTCTCACTGGGAAAATGATCAGGCTGCTGTATATTTACCTCTTCCTAAAATACATTTAGGATATTCACGACAGAGGGGTGTGTGTAAGGGTGGGGGGGTTATATAATTATATACAGGCACAGTCCTCAATGATATGAATAACTCCAGCACAAACAATCTCAGCATGTTTCTTTTGTCAATGTTTCAGGGTTTTTCTAGATGTGACAGAAACTGCAACGGAAATGTGCAGAGGTAAACATGTATGATGGAGGTAATGTTATGCCACTCAGTATCTTCAGTAGAGCTTCAGTGGATCACTCCCTGTCAGGCACTAAACATATACAAACACATGCAGTCCCTCATGTTCTGGTGTTGGTATTTGCCCTGGCATTGATCTGGTATTCAGTGTTATTTTTGCCCGACTTGCCTGTGTATTAATAGCAGTATTTGTTTTGGGGCTGTCAGCAGGGGAAGTGTTGTGTTTGCATGATTAGCTGTGCAGGGGTGGAGAGGGGGTTACTGTGTAATAGTATTGGGACTGTTGGGACCGCATCAGGTTAATTAACTATTTGATATGTCCAGGTGTGTGTCTCACCTGTGCTGTCCTCTTGGTCCTCAGTACTAGGAGCAGGAACCTCAGTCACCTCAGCCTTCAACTCCTGGAACCCTGCATTACCACCGTACTGCCATGCTGGGTCTAGAAGGGGGAGGAGAGAGAGTGACAGAGCGAGAGAAAGAGCGAGAGCGAGAGAGCGAGAGCGAGAGCGAGAGCGCGAGCGAGAGCGAGAGAGCGAGAGAGCGAGAGAGAGAGAGAGAGAGAGAGAGATGATAGATAGATAGATAGATAGATAGATAGATAGATAGATAGATAGATAGATAGATAGATAGATAGATAGATAGATAGATAGATAGATAGATAGATAGATAGATAGATAGATAGATAGATAGATAGATAGATAGATAGATAGATAGATAGATAGATAGATAGATAGATAGATAGATAGATAGAAGTCAGAAAACAACCAGTGATACAATGTTGAGAAGCTCTGATTGAGACACGGGCTTTGAGGTGTCGAGTTCTGCCTCCATCAATTAATCAATCGTCAATTGCAGTGCTCTCCAACCCTGGACCTAGAGAGAGCTTCAGAGTGGGAACTGTGCAGGCTTTAGTTCCAGTCCAGCACTAACACACATCGCCCCAACACAATGTAGAGATTGTGAGTGGATGTGTTTTTTTAATGTTTGTATTAGGCTACACATTCTGAATGTGTTTTTCTCATGATTATCAAGACTATGATTAGAAAGATAGGCATATGCCTACATTTTGTGATTTTCATTAGAAGACTAACTTGACTTACATCTCAAACAACCAGCCTAGTTTGGTCGTTGCTCATGAAAAAAGTATACTCATTGCAAGTGATTGTAACAAAACAATACAGTCATGATTAAAGGAACTATGCAACTGTAACTGTGTGTGTGCAGATGATCAGTACATGCAAATGAGCTGTACCTAATAGTTTGCACATGCTAATTCTGTTTTCATTATGTGACCAAGCTATATGTCCACCGGTATGGGCACATAATGCCAACTGAATGGGCTCGGGCGCATCTGATCGGGCACTAAACAGTTGAATGCAAATATCTGCTGCTAAACGATTCTCCAATAATGACCCTCTTTGATTGTGCCAGGACACAGGAACTGCAGAACCTGCCAACAATTTGGGGGGGCCTAATCCATCAGTTTAATTTGCAGATTGTTGGTATGCTAATAATCCCAGGATTCTGTCGAAATAGAGCACTGTGCCCTCCCTCAACATTCATTTATTTTTGAGGAGGTCACCAAGAAGGAGCTACAATGGAACTACGATATTGCTGATGCTGGCCCCAACAAGCCATGGAACATTGTCCTGGTGCATAATGGCTACATTTACAGAGAGGATGGCTTTACCGCAAATAAGCAGTTCTGGAAGAGCACTGACTGGTTATGATCTGTACAAGTCTAAAGGTTGCATCATCCTCACTGCTGGGCGCGTCACAAAGATAGCGGGACAACACAACCATGCCATGGATGGATTGGAGATTGTGGAAGATTGGCTGGTGATGAAGGAGGGACTGGAGACCCAGACGTGTGAATGTCCATTCGGTGGTTGTGATTATTATTTTGTTGCCTGAGTAAGCCCTTTAGAACAGGAGGACCTACTGAACAACCAGGTGCCCCTGTACCGACCCTCTACAACCTGCTCATCCCTGAGAGCTACCATGGTACGGTGGGTGGAGAGCTATTCCTCCAGCATGACAGAGGACCAGGACAAGACAGGTTTCTCATCTTCACAACGACACGAAACCTGGATTTCCTGTGCCAGTCTGTGTCCTGGTGTGTACTGCCCTACAAAGGCAAAGTGCAGTAACTACTGTACGTAAAAAAATATTATATATTCTAATCGACTGGCTTGTTCTTGTGTCAGAAAACGAAATACCACATTAATCAGATAATATACCTTATTATAATATTAAATCAACGATTTTTGACCAAATTCGTATTTACTGCACTTTGCCTTTGTAGGTCAGTGTAGATGGATCGTTCAATGCGGCCCCACCTTTGTTACGGCAGTTGTACACCATTTTCGGGGCTGTGACAGTCGACTGTGATTCCAGTAGCCTATATTTTTGTCTGGGGTAAGCATCAACAATTAGTATACTACTGATGTTGTATTAAGGGTTCATTTTCAAAATGACAGCAATGTCGAGTTGAACATGCAATTAATCTGAAACTAAGTTTCAAGTGAGAATTAGGCAGGTCTGATGCAGAAAGATAAAGGAAATTCTTGCCTACTTCACACATATTTAATTTAATTTTTGCAAAGAAATGAGCTACTGAAAGCACCACCAAGATTTAAAATTAGGTCAACTACCACCCAGCCACTGCACAATGTAGTTCAATTACTAGTTGAATTACAAGTAGTTCACTACTCCCCCACACTGGTTGGAGGCACTGAGGAGGCCGAGGCCTGAGATGAAACCAGACTCCATCTTGACTGACTTCAAGCCAGTAGCTGTGAATGCCTTGAAGTCAGTGTTTCTAGAGGTCCACATTCAGTGTTCCTTCTTCCATCTGAGCCAGAAATGTTGACGGTATATTGAATACGAATTTGTGCCAAGCCAGCTGGCATCAAGGTACCGCAGCGACACCAATTTCCCTCTCCACCTCAAGATGCTCCCTGCACTCGCGTTCATCCCACCCTCTGATGTAGAGAGATGCTATGAAGATCTGGAGGAGCTGATATTCCCCACATCCTCTGAGGACCGGGAGCTGCGCAAAATTGTGAGCCACTTTGAGGGACATACATTGGGCACTGGAGATCATTTTGAGCAATCTTCACCAAAAGAGCACCGGCATTTGTTTATTTCCGAAATGTGGAACTACTACGATGCTGTCAAGCAGCAAGACTTTGTGGAGGTCAATAAGGAAGTGACGGACTGGCGTCGGGCCTTCGGGGCATTTGCTGGTGCCACACACCCCACGGTTTTGGAGTTCATCGATGCCCTGCGACAGCAACAGGCTCTGACTGAACCTCAACTGGAGCAGTACCTCGCTGGCAACCTACCACCACCAGAGAGTCTGCAGTAGCTTGGAGAAGGTAAAGCGGCTTGTGGAGGACTACCACAATCTACCCCTAATGGATTACCTGTGACGCAATGCCTACACATTCCAGCTGCAGGTGTGATGACTGCAACACAACAACCCTCATGAGCAGACTGAACACTTCCTTGCACATCCGTCCATGACACTGGACTGGATACTGCCCACTGGACAAAAACTGGTTGAATCAACGTTGTTTCCACGTCATTTCAACAAAATAACTATACGTGGTGACGTTGAATCAATGAGGAAAAGTGATTGGATTTGCAAAAAGTCATCAACGTAAGGGAATTTCGTATTTTTTTCACCCAACTTTTAACCTAAATCTAATAACATGGTGACATTTTTTGTTGATTTCACGTTGAATTCACATTTGTTGACAACTCAACCAAAACTAGATGTTGAAATGACTTCATGGCCTAACTGGTCTACTTTTATTTTAAATCTATTTTATGGCCTATTTTTTTATTATACTCATTTTGTTGTAAAACTGGGATCTTTGTGAATAAAGTTTTTATTCTGAATTATTGGTTCACTTTATTCATTCTTTTGAAATAAGATTTGTACACACACATGCAAACACATACTCAGTGGTACCACAGAAGCTGTGGTCCTCTGTAGCTCAGCTGGTAGAGCATGGCGCTTGTAATGCCAGGGTAGTGGGTTCGATCCCCGGGACCACCCATACGTAAAAATGTATGCACGCATGACTGTAAGTCGCTTTGGTTAAAAGCGTCTGCTAAATGGCATATTACATTACATATTACAAGCTTACCTCTCAAACTGCCAGTGTCCCCTTGTCTTCCAGGTCTGGATACCAGGTGAGAGAGAACACCAGCACCTGCAAACACATAATGGATTTAGTATCACGCACACTTTTTAACATCACAGTACAATGGACACACTGACTGACAGCACCATTCCTGACCATGCAGTGACCATCGAGCCAAGAGCAGCCTACACCAGCAAGCCATGGGGTATCTGTGTGTGTGAGGGGGTCTCTGGCAGCACTACTGACAGCAGGGAATGTAAGAGGAGGAAACAAACACTCCAGAGTGGATTCCCAGCTGCTGTGGAGTCTGCCGGACTGTTGAACACACACACACACACACACGCGACCTTTAGTCTTGAAGCCCCCGACCTGCCTTGCTACCACAGTTAGCCATTCCTCATACCAGTTTAGTTCAACTGGAACAACCTCAACAATTCCCCCAAGCCTCACCCCTCACTCCCCCTCCCCTCTGCTCCATACCCTACCCCCTCCCTTCAGCCCCCCAGAGAACCATTACAGTTGAGAGTGTTGATAAACAGCAGCAGTGACTCGGTCTATAACAGTGAAGGATGCTAACGTGTTAACGTGTTTACAGCCTCATAATTATGCAATGCGTGTGTGTGAAGAGTTTACAGGCTCCTAATGAGCCATAATGACGCAGAACATGTTAATCTTAGCATCTGGAAACTAATGTTGATTTCCTCTTTTGATGAAGACCCACATGAAAAAATACTATAGTATACTATGGTATATATACTATAGTATTCGTTTTTGCAGACTTTACTGTAGTTTTCACTGTAGTATACTGTAGTATTTACAGTTAAGTATAAATACCATATTAAAAGAAAACTGTAGATTATACTATAATAATGAATGTAGTGTTTTTGCGGATTGTAGTATACTGTAGTAGTTACTGTACTGTTTTTGCAGACTGTAGTATAATGTAATATTTACTGTAGTGTCTTTGCGGACATTATTGTAGTATTTACTATAGTGTTTTTGTTTGATTATCTTTGACACAGAAGTGGAGGCTTTCTCCTTCAGGAAACCTACAGGAGAAATACAAAACTACTGCACATTTTCCAAAACCTGTAGGTAGGTAAGACTGGGGTCTGAACGGATAGTTCAGAGCTTCTGCTGTTTTCTATAACCTGTAGGGAACACCATGTATGGTCTATACTTGTCATGTAGGTTTCTCACTTATGGGTGGCACAAATTGCGAAATGTGGGAGGGGCATGGAAGAGTACATGCACATTTAATGAAGTAGTATTTACTATACTTTAAAAAGTGGCGTGTTTTTGCGGACTGTAGTGTTTTTTTGTGGATAATACTTTAGTATTTACTATAGTATTCTACAGCAGGGTTTCCCGTTTTGGGTTTTAACCAACTCATCATCAAGCTTTGATTATTTGAATCAGCTGTGTAGTGCTAGGGCAAAAACCAAAACGTGCACCCGAGTTTGGGAAACCCTGTTCTACAGTATACTACAACATTCTATAGTAAGTACTACACATGACCGAGGGATACTACAGTGTGTAGTACAGTATTCTACAGTATACTACAGTTTACTATAGAATTCTATAGTAAGTATTTTAGTATTCTATAGTAGTATTTTTTCATGTGGGGAGAAGGGGTGAGTTTGGGGTAAAGCTGGGGGAGAAGGAGGAGGAGAGGTGTGGGGTGTGAAGGGTGGGATACCAGAGTCAAGTTTAACAGGCATAAAACGGAAGAAAGGAGTTTTGAAATGGAGGAAGTACTGCCTGAACGTGCACAATAAGAATGGTCATTTTCGTTTGCTTCTGTTCATGTTTTGTATGACCTGGGTCAATGGATGCTTTCTGGGTGGAAGGGTATGGGGAGAGGAGGGTGGTGGGGTGAGGAGGGGTGAGGGAGGGTGAGGGGAAGAGTCTCGCTTCCCTGAATTACAAAAGTGTTCCCAGGGGGCAAGGTCATTAATCATCTCAGATAAACAAGTGCAAATTGTTTATGTGTGTCAAATCAAATCAAATCGTATTGGTCACATACACGTGTTTAGCAGATGTTATTGCGGGTGTAGCGAAATGCTTCTGTTTCTAGTATATCTAACAAGTAATATCTTACAACATATACCCAATACACACAAATCTAAGTAAAGCAATGGAATTAAGAATATATAAATATATGGACGAGCAATGTCAGAGTGGCATAGATACAGTAGACAGTAGAATAGTATAGAATACAGTATATCCATATGAGATGAGTAATGCAAGATATGTAAACATTATTAAAGTGACTAGTGTTCCATTTAATAAAGTGGCCAGTGATTTCTAATCTATGTATGTAGGCAGCAGACTCTAATGTGCAAGAGAATGGCCTTGAAATAGAAGCAGTTTTTCTCTCTCTCTCTGTGTGTGTGTGTGTGTGTGTGTGTGTGTGTGTGTGTGTGTGTGTGTGTGTGTGTGTGTGTGTGTGTGTGTGTGTGTGTGTGTGTGTGTGTGTGTGTGTGTGTGTGTGTGTGTGTGTGTGTGAGTGTGAGTGTGAGTGTGGATATAAGGGCAAATCCGGCAGAACATCAAGACCCCAGCAAGTCCTTCCAGACTGAAACACCAAAACATATGAACACTCATACCCATGCTCCCTGAGCATGGCCCAATCAAGCCTTCTAACCCTGTGCTATTAGAGTTATTAGAGCTGAGAGGAGATAAAAGGCTCATATTTGGCTGAAGGTCTCACTCAGTCTCAATCTCTCAGCACAGTCCACCTTCATGTTGCTGTGTAGCAGAGCTGTTGTTCTTGGATGCAGTCATACTCACCATGGGTCTCTTGGCTTGGCTGCTGTTGATAGCATTTATTCTACAACAACAGTGCCTTTTCATAAGCCATTAGAAATCTTACGTAACAGAATATATCTAGGTGGGAATGAGTCAGTAACTAAACGTAACTAAACTAAACAAAAAGAAGAAACTATACTATGGAACAAAGATAAATGATATAAAGAATGATAGTAAAAAGCTCTGGAGTACCTTAAATGAAATTCTAGGCAGAAAAGCTAACTCAGCTCCATCGTTCATTGAGGTTGATGGCTCATTCATAACAAAACCCTTTGATATTGTCAACCACTTTAATAACTTTTTTGTTGACAAGATTAGCAAATTTAGGCATGACATGCAAACAACAAATGCTGAGCCTTCATATTCATTCATAACAGACCAAATAATGAAAGACACACACTGTAGCTTTGAATTCTGCAAAGTTAGTGTGGAAGAGGTGAAAAATGAACTACTATCTATAAAAACCACCTGGAACCGACAACCTGGATGGTAAATTACTGAGGTTGGTAGCGGAATACATTGCGACTCCTATTTGCCACATCTTCAATCTAGGCCTAGAAGACGGAGTGTACCCTCAGGCCTGAAGGGAGGCAAATGTCATTCCGCTGCCCAAAAATAGCAAAGCACCCTTTAATAGTTCAAACAGCAGACCAATCAGCCTGTTACCGGTGCTTAGCAAACTTTTGGAAAAAAATGTGTTAGTCCAAATACAATGTTATTTTACAGAAAACAAATTAACAACAGACTTTCAGCATGCTTATAGGGAAGGGCACACAACATGCTCGGCACTGACACAAATGACTGATGATTGGATGAAAGAAATTGATAATAAGGAGATTGTGGGAGCTGTTTTGTTAGACTTCAGTGCAGCCTTTGACATCATTGATCATAACATATTACTGAAAAAACATAGGTGTATGGATTAACATCCTCTGCCTTATCATGGATGGACAGTTACCTATCCAATAGAACACAGAGGGTTTTCTTTAATGGAAGTTGAATGTTCAATGTGGTATACCGCAGGGCAGCCGGCTTGGACCATTATTGTTTTCTGTGTTTACTAATGACCTGACCTTGAATAAAGCCTGTGTGTCCATGCACGCTGACGACTCAACAGTATACACGTCGGCTACAACAGTAAAATAAATAACTGACACCCTTAACATAGAACTCCAATCAGTTTTAGAATGGGTAACTAGCAATAGGCTGGTGTTAAATATATAAAAAACGAAAAGTATCATTTTTTGGATGAGTCACTCACTCACTCACTCAACCCTAAACCTCATATTGATCTATTATTGAATAATGTGGTTATTGAGCAAGTTGAAGAGACTAAACTGCTGGGTGTCACCCTAGATAGCAAGCATTTCATGGTCAAAACCTATAGACTCAATGGTTACGAAAATGGGAAGAGGTCTGTACATGATAAGGCTTTGCTGTGCTTTCTTGATATCTCAGTCAACCAGACATGTCTTACAGGCCCTAGTTTTGATGCACCTGGACTACTGTCCAGTTGTGTGGTCAGGTGCGGCAAAGAAGGACATAGGCAAATTGCAGTTGGTCCAAAACAGAGCAGCATGTATTGCACTTACAGTGGGGAAAAAAAGTATTTAATCAGCCACCAATTGTGCAAGTTCTCCCACTTAAAAAGATGAGAGAGGCCTGTAATTTTCATCATAGGTACACGTCAACTATGACAGACAAAATGAGATTTTTTTTCTCCAGAAAGTCACATTGTAGGATTTTTTATGAATTTATTTGCAAATTATGGTGGAAAATAAGTATTTGGTCAATAACAAAAGTTTCTCTATACTTTGTTATATACCCTTTGTTGGCAATGACACAGGTCAAACGTTTTCTGTAAGTCTTCACAAGGTTTTCACACACTGTTGCTGGTATTTTGGCCCATTCCTCCATGTAGATCTCCTCTAGAGCAGTGATGTTTTGGGGCTGTCGCTGGGCAACACAGACTTTCAACTCCCTCCAAAGATTTTCTATGGGGTTGAGATCTGGAGACTGGCTAGGCCACTCCAGGACCTTGAAATGCTTCTTACGAAGCCACTCCTTCGTTGCCCGGGCGGTGTGTTTGGGATCATTGTCATGCTGAAAGACCCAGCCACGTTTCATCTTCAATGCCCTTGCTGATGGAAGGAGGTTTTCACTCAAAATCTCACGATACATGGCCCCATTCATTCTTTCCTTTACACGGATCAGTCGTCCTGGTCCCTTTGCAGAAAAACAGCCCCAAAGCATGATGTTTCCACCCCCATGCTTCACAGTAGGTATGGTGTTCTTTGGATGCAACTCAGCATTCTTTGTCCTCCAAACACGACGAGTTGAGTTTTTACCAAAAAATTATATTTTGGTTTCATCTGACCATATGACATTCTCCCAATCCTCTTCTGGATCATCCAAATGCACTCTAGCAAACTTCAGACGGGCCTGGACATGTACTGGCTTAAGCAGGGGGACACGTCTGCCACTGCAGGATTTGAGTCCCTGGCGGCGTAGTGTGTTACTGATGGTAGGCTTTGTTACTTTGGTCCCAGCTCTCTGCAGGTCATTCACTAGGTCCCCCCGTGTGGTTCTGGGATTTTTACTCACCGTTCTTGTGATCATTTTGACCCCACGGGGTGAGATCTTGCGTGGAGCCCCAGATCGAGGGAGATTATCAGTGGTCTTGTATGTCTTCCATTTCCTAATAATTGCTCCCACAGTTGATTTCTTCAAACCAAGCTGCTTACCTATTGCAGATTCAGTCTTCCCAGCCTGGTGCAGGTCTACAATTTTGTTTCTGGTGTCCTTTGACAGCTCTTTGGTCTTGGCCATAGTGGAGATTGGAGTGTGACTGTTTGAGGTTGTGGACAGGTGTCTTTTATACTGATAACAAGTTCAAACAGGTGCCATTAATACAGGCAACAAGTGGAGGACAGAGGAGCCTCTTAAAGAAGAAGTTACAGGTCTGTGAGAGCCAGAAATCTTGCTTGTTTGTAGGTGACCAAATACTTATTTTCCACCATTATTTGCAAATAAATTCATTAAAAATCCTACAATGTGATTTTCTGGATTTTATATTCTCATTTTGTCTGTCATAGTTGACGTGTACCTATGATGAAAATTACAGGCCTCTCTCATCTTTTTAAGTGGGAGAACTTGCACAATTGGTGGCTGACTAAATACTTTTTTCCCCCACTGTAGATGTACACTGAGGGTGAATGTCAATGACATGCATGTCAATCTCTCCTGGCTCAAAGTTGAGGAGAGATTGACTGCATCACTATTGGTCTTTGTGCAAGGTGTTGAAGTTACCGAACTGTCTGTTCAAGCAGTTGGCACTTAGTTCAGACACTCATCGGTATCACACAAGACATGCAACCAGAGGTCTCTTCACAGTACCCAGGTCAAGAACAAAGGCTGGGAAACACACAGTATTAAATAGAGCCATGACTAAATGGAACTCTCTGCCACCCAAGGTAACTCAAGCCAGCAATAAAACCAGATTCAAAAACCAGATAAAAGAACACCTTATTGCATGACGGGGACTGTGAAGAGAGACACAGACATTTTTATGCATTTTGTATTGTATTTTGCATTGAATTATATTATGTATGTGATACGTGGTTGGGATACACCTGTGATATGTGGTTGTCTCGCCTGGCTATCTTAAGAAGAATACACTAGCTGTGGATCGCTCTGGATGGGAGAGTCTACTGAATGGCTAAAGTGTAATGTAAATTTAGTGCTATGTATATTTATGTACATTATGTGTTATATTTGTTATGTTGTTTCCTGTTTGGACCCCAGGAAGAGTAGCTGCTGCCTTGGCAGCTAGTTGGGGAACCTAATAAACACTAAATACAGAGGTTTCCAGAAACAATATGAGTGGCATCAAACCAACGTCATTGTGGAGGCACAATGTTCACATGGTTGACCATCAGAAACAACCTCATCTTCTAGATGCCTGATTCTGACCTACCAGCCCTTTCTAACCACTGTTTAACCAGGAAGTTCCATTGAGTTAAACAATAAAGGGAGACATTAAAGCATGGCCTGTATTAACATGGCCTGTTTTGATGTTACACAGTACAGAGCCAACCGTATTTGAACTGGTCTAGTAAACCTGAGCTCTATCTGCTGAGGACAAGAGGGGATTTATGGTGTGTTTGTTAAGCGTTTGGCTGTTAAAACCAGGAACCCACCCGCAAAGGACCCCTTTACCAAGCCTCACCACACTCGTGTGAGCACACACACACACACACGCGACCGCACACCCACACACACACAAACACACACGACCATGCGCACACACACATACACACACGGTTTTACTTCCCTTTTTCATGTGTTTCCTCCTCTCTGAATGTGATCTATTTAAAGAGACCAGCAAATTTGATAAAAGAGTGTGGTGGTATAGCAAGCACAGAGGTATCTAGTGGTGAAAACCTGGTACTTTCACGCTAATTTATGGTAAATAAAACAGGGGGGGAAAAAATCACCTATTTCAAAGTGAATACATGACTAAGTATGGAGAAGCAATACTCCAAGCCACAGCTCCATACTCAAACATAGAAAACTGATACTGTATACTGGTTGTTGGGGTGGAATTGGCATGTGGTGGGGGGTTCCGTGGGTGGCTTTTGACCATTTTGTTGGGATTCCTCATGTCTTACTCATTTGTAGGAAGAAGTTTGGTCCAAATCAGAGATAATTTCTTAACAATCTAAAATGGTGGGTGTCGAAATCCTTGTTCTTGTGCTTTTTGAGGTGGAACTATCCTCTCTATATTTTAGCCTGCAAATGCTAACATGAGGATCAAACCAGATGCCACAGAGCCATGCAGGGAAATAATGAACTTCTTTTTAGGTTTAGAGTGTAGAAGGGCAGCACTGGAATAATGGGATAGGGGATAGGGGATAATGGGATAGGGAGGTAGTGGATGGGGAGTTGGGGAAGGAGGATTTACGGTGGTGGTGGTGGGCAACGTCAGCTTTACGAGACAACATAAATCCCCCCTCCCCTCCACCTCCCCTCCCCACACAAACACCCTTGATGGTCTGAGTCAAACGTCATCAAAGCCCTAAGGTAAGATGGATGTGGGACTCTAACATCTCGCTTGTCTCTTCTCTAGAACCTTCTCCCTCCCTCCGCTCCTTAAAACAAACAGATAGCTGAGAAACCTGACACTACTTCGGCCTCCTTGTGTTGCCCAAACACAGACATGCACACGAACACACCCACCCACCCATATGCACACAAACAGTTCTGTGGAATCCTCTATGTTACAGGAAAGAGCCTCATCGTTGAGTGTGTGTGTCACATTTTTACTCAGCACTTACAGTTAACTCAGAATCTCCTGACTCTCCTACAAAACCACAAGACACTTGATGTACAGCAAACATACACTACTGGTCAAAAGTTTTAGAACACCTACTCATTCAAGGGTTTTTCTTTATTTTTACTATTTTCTACATTGTAGAATAATAGTGAAGACATCAAAACTATTAAATAACAAAAAAGTGTTAAACAAATCAAAATATATTTTATACTTGAGATTCTTCAAATAGCCACCCTTTGCCTTGATGACACCTTTGCACTCTCTTGGCATTCTCTCAACCAGCTTCATGAGGTAGTCACCTGGAATGCATTTCAATTAACAGGTGTTCTTTGTTAAAAGTTAATTTGTGGAATATCTTTCCTTCTTAATGCGTTTGAGCCTATCAGTTGTGTTGTGACAAGGTGGGGGGGGTATACAGAAGATAGCCCTATTTGGTAAAAGACCAAGTCCATATTATGGCAAGAACAGCTCAAATAAGCAAAGAGAAATGACAGTCCATCATTACTTTAAGACATGAAGGTCAGTCAATACGGAACATTTCAAGAACTTTGAAAGTTTCTTCAAGTGCAGTCGCATAAACCATCAAGCGCTATGATGAAACTGGCTCTCATGAGGACCACCACTGGAATGGAAGACCCAGAGTTACCTCTGCTGCAGAGGATAAGTTCATTAGAGTTACCAGCCTCATAAATTGCAGCCCAAATAAATGCTTCACAGAGTTCAAGTAACAGACACATCTCAACATCAACTGTTCAGAGGAGACTGCGTGAATCAGGCCATCATGGTCGAATTGCTGCAAAGAAACCACTACTAAAGGACACCAATAAGAAGAAGAGACTTGCTTGGGCCAAGAAACATGAGCAATGGACATTAGACCGGTGGAAATTTGTCCTTTGGTCTGGAGTCCAAATTGGAGATTTTTGGTTCAAACCGCCGTGTCTTTGTGAGATGCGGTGTGGGTGAACGGATGATCTCCGCATGTGTATTTCCCACCATAAAGCATGGAGGAGGAGGTGTTATGGTGTGGGGGTGCATTGTTGGTGACACTGTCAGTGGTTTATTTAGAATTCAAGGCATACTTAACCAGCATGGCTACCACAGCATTCTGCAGCGATACGCCATCCCATCTGGTTTGGGCTTAGTGGGACTATCATTTGTTTTTCAACAGGACAATGACCCAACACACCTCCAGGCTGTGTAATGGCTATTTTACCAAGAACGAGAGTGATGGAGTGCTGCATCAGATGACCTGGCCTCCACAATCCCCCGACCTCAACCAAATTGAAATGGTTTGGGATGAGTCGGACCACAGAGTGAAGGAAAAGCAGCCAACAAGTGCTCAGCATATGTGAGAACATTCCAGGTGAAGCTGGTTGAGAGAATGCCAAGAGTGTGCAAAGCTGTCATCAAGGCAAAGGGTGGCTATTTGAAGAATCTCAAATATGAAATATACTTTGATTTGTTTAACACTTTTTTGGTTACTACATGATTAAATATGTGTTATTTCATAGTTTTGATGTCTTCACTATTATTCTACAATGTAGAAAATAGTAAAAATAAAGAAAAACCCTTGAATGAGTAGGTGTTCTAAAACTTTTGACCGGTAGTGTATGTCTCCGAGCGGGACTGGAGAACACTTCCACATGCCATTTACAACACAGTCTGTCTATAAGTGGTGTACGTCTCAATCAGGAATCACATGAACTTTCTGTCCCCAGTAGGAGAGAACAGACAGAGATGTTGTTACTCACCTCCGGCAGGTCGCAGACCACTGTCCTGTAGTGGGACGCTGGGTGGCACCAAAGGGGGTTGCGGGTAGCAGGGTCTGCTCTTCAGTCTCTCCGTCTCTCTCTTCATCTCCTCCACCCTCCTCTGAAGCCCCTCCACATCTCTCTCCAGACGCTCCTTCTCTCCCTGCAGCAGGCTCCTCTCTCCCATGGCCTGAGTCAGAGCCTCTTTCAGACCAGCCTGGGACCCAGCCCCAGCCCCAAGCCCAGGACCCCCTGTCTTCCCTCCAGTCAGCCTGGCCACCAATACCTCCAGCAGGCTGAGTCTAGCCTTGAGCCCCTCCATCTCTGGTCCTCCGGAGGCTGTAGGGGGGCAGCTGGTCTCGCTGGGGCTGGGCACGGTGAAGGTGTACTGGCAATGCCCGCTACGGTCGTTTCCCCTCCAGAGAGTGGCACGGTCCTGCCCCTCACCACATTGCAGCAGACAGAACACACAAACATTAAGCAGCAGCCACATGGTGGATACAAACACAACCACACAAGTGGGCTACACACGGATGTAGACTAGACACGGTTCTTCTGGTCTGTCGCACTCTGTCTCGTCAATGTCTCTCCTATTTCACTCTGTGTTTCAGCTCTTCTTTCTCTGTCTTGCTGTTGTAATTGCCCTTCTATCACTTCACTTAGTTCTGGCCCAATTTTCCTCTTTCTCCTTATTTCTTATTGTTCTTTATCTTACTTTATTTCCCTAACGTGTTACTGCAGATTCTTGTTCTTATTCTCGGATTAGTCTGTCTGTTGTCTTGCTGTCTGCCTGTCTGTAACTCTCTCTCTTCTCTCTGTTCTGGTTTGTTTGTTTCTCAGGTCAGGGTCCTCAGGTCTCTGAGTCCCTCTAACAGCTCAGGGATATTTATACCATTTGGGAGGGAGGGAAGGAGGTAGAGGAAAGAGAGGAGAGGTGAAAGGGGGCCAGGGAGGAAGGGAGGGAGGGAGCGAGGAGAGGAAAGAGAGGAGAGGTGAGAGGGGGCCAGGGAGGGAGGGAGGGAGGGAGCGAGGAGAGAAAAGAGAGGAGAGGTGAGAGGGGGCCAGGGAGGGAGGGAGGAGAGGAAAGAGAAAAAGGGAGGAAGAAATGGCAGGAGAGATGGGAGGGGTTAGATACTGTGTGTTTTGGGGATTGTCTCAACAACAAAAACATTCCAGCGCCCTAGGAGTGTTTGTATGTATTTGTGTTTGCACGTGCTTGCTGATGTGTGCATGCATGCATGGGTGTGTGTGCGTGTGCATGTGCAAAGAGGGTAAGCAAGGAGAGGGTGGCTCTCAGTTTCCTTTGCCCTCATCCTTTTGAAATCTCTTGATGTTTCTATATCCAGTAGCCCTCTCTGCCAGCAACCACAGGGCTGGGCTATCTGTAGCTATGTGTGGTGTTTGATTCAGGGGGATAGGGGGGCTTGGCAGGGGAGTTTCCCCAGGGATGGGAGGGGTAGGTGGGCCTTGGGGGATTGAGTTACCCACCCCCAGAGACGGAGAGCTCCGGGGTGGCAGGGTGTTCCCTTATGGCGCAAGAAGACGATCGGTTCGTAATGAGAAAGACAGATCGCTTACAGAACACCTGATCTATGCTGTCCAGATTCCAACCGCCAGTAGGAAGGGCTGGAGGTATGAGTCAATCAATAGCTGGATTACTTGTGAGTGTGTGTGTGCATGTATGTGCATGTGCATGAGTGTATATGTGTGTGTTCACCAGGTGATTTTCCACTCAGCCACTGAGGTTTAAATCTCTAGTTTAATATCATGAGTCACACACCAGAAAACCACACCTGCTTTACATTGACATTTTAGTCATTTAGCAGACGCTCTTATCCAGAGCGACTTACAGTTAGTGAGTGCATTCATTATTTTTTTAATATATTTTTTTCATACTGGCCCCCCGTGGGAATCGAACCCACAACCCTGGCGTTGCAAACGCCATGCTCTACCAACTGAGCTACATCCCTGCCGGCCATTCCCTCCCCTACCCTGGACGACGCTGGGCCAATTGTGCGCCGTCGCATGGCTTTACCCTTTTATCCCTCTCTCTCACTCATATACTCTCAATTTCAATTAAGTTCAATTCAAGGGGCTTTATTGTCATGGGAAACATATGTTTACATTGCCAAAGCAAGTGAAATGGATAAACAAAAGTGAAAGAAACACTCTCTCAATCCCTCTGTCTTTCACACAATAACAGGCACACACAGCCACTGCCCACCAGACGGAACTCTCTCTCTCTCCTAACTCTCATTCTCATGAGTTGCATAGTTTTATGATCCCTTGTTTATTTCCAGAGAGGGATGAAAGATAGCATGTTAGCTCTCTGAAACAGAGCCCAGAGCCCAGGGAGTCGAAGGGGAGAGAGGGGGAGAGAGGAAGGGGGAGGAAGTGGGGGAGAGAGGGAAAGAGTAGGGGAGTGTGAGAGATGTGGGGTCAAAGGTTAGAGTGGTGAGAGAAGTTAAGAACGGCAAAGGGTGGGAGGTCAACACATTGAGCTAGCTCACAAGACTAGAACACACACCCGCACACACCCACGCCCTGGAGGAGTCTGAGAAATGGGGTCACGGGACATAAAACTCAATTGGTACATCAGTCAAGAAGGCTGGCATCTAAATACTGTCCTCCACAAAGCTCTCTCTCCCTCCCTCTCTCCGAATCTCTCTCTGTGAATCCAAAACCACCCCTTCGCCCCTACCAACTAGCTCGGAGGGCCCTCCGTGTTGATGACAAAACTCTGAGGGTGACTTCCAGAGAGTGGTGATGGGATCAATAAACCAATCAACTTCGGGACACACTCCTGACTTGAATGATGCAATTCATGTTCCACTTTTAAATAATAAAACAAGCATGACATTTAAATGAACAAATCCCCTGTCGTTTTACAATATATAAACCTCAGTAACAGTTAAACACTTAATTTGGGAGGTATTTCATCTGTTACATGTGTCAAGTCTTGAAATCAGACTTCAACAAATGCAGGTGGCATAAAATTAGGCACGCCTCTCCATTCTTTTGTTGCGCATACTCCAAACATATCGCAGTGCCTGTTGGGATAGCACTTCGCCTGCAGCCTTGCTAGCTCAGTCGAAGTGGCTATCTGAGGGTCTAATTAGCCCCTACACCCTCGATAGTTTACACTCCCTCAGCTTTGGAACACTTGTGCAAATGGAAGAGGTGCGTATGAATACGCAAATGGAGGGCCGAGGGGGTTGGTACAGGCCAGCTCTGTTTCCAATGGCAAGATTTTTGGTAGCTGGCACAGCTTCAACAACACCTCTGATTAGAGGACAGAGGTACTTGGCAGTAACACAACCACTGATTGGTCAGGAGATTGGTGCGGTATGTGTCTGATTAAGGAAACTAGTGATTTGGGATCAGTATTATTAGCCTGGGCACGTCTTTAGGGAATCCATTAAAAAGGGGCAAGGGAATAAGGGTAGGAGAGAGATGAGGTCGAGAGGAGAAGGAATGGAGGGAGTAGTTAAACCACAAACAGGTCTGTTGTTTGTCTGTGTAAGTCTTGGCTGGTGTTTCCTCCATGTTGTCACCCTGCTGAATATGTACGTAGTGCTACTGCTTCAGCCAACAGTATGAGTGGTGAATATCGAGTACAGAGTAGACTGGGTTGTTGTGATGCTTATTTATTCTCTACTACTTCCTCCAGGTAGCCACATCCACCTCCCCCATCCTCCCACTGTCTGCCCCCTTCTGTATCTGGCAGTGTGTATGTCTGATTCCCCAGTCCTTCAATAGGCTCATGTGTCCTGTAGTGAAAAACAGGAGTCTGACATCATCCATCCCTAATTGGATCAAAAACACACTGTCCTGGCAAGGCGTGTGTGTGTGTTGGTAACCTACTAAAGTACAAGAATCTCTCTCACCCGGGGAAGTGATGAAGATTAAGGATGAAGAAGATGAAGAGCCTGCAAGGGTATAATATTTTATGAATAACGTGGATACCATTTTTATGTCTCTACATCCAGTATGAAGGAAGTTAGAGGTAGTTTCACAAGCCAATGAACAGCCTCAATTAATCTGGGCATGGACTCTACAAGGTGTTGAAAGCATTCCACAGGGATGCTGGCCCATGTTGACTCCAATGCTTCCCACAGTTGTGTCAAGTTGGTTGGATGTCCTTTGGGTCGTGGACCATTCTCGATATACATGGGAAACTGTTGAATGTGAAAAACCCAGCAGTGTTGCAGTTCTTGACACACTCAAACCGGTGCGCCATGCACCTACTACCATACCCCGTTCAATGGCACTTAAATCTTTTGTCTTGCCCATTCACCCTTTGGCAGCGATTACAGCCTCAAGTCTTTTTGGGTATGACGCTACAAGCTTGGCACACCTGTATTTGGGTAGTTTCTCCCATTCTTCTCTGCAGATCCTCTCAAGCTCTGCCAGGTTGGATGGGGAGTGTCGCTGCACAGCTATTTTCAGGTCTCTCCAGAGATGTTCGATCGGGTTCAAGTCCGGGCTCTGGCTGGGCCACTCAAGGACATTCAGAGACTTATCCCGAAGCCACTCCTGCGTTCTCTGTACTTTGCTCTGTTCATCTTTCACTCAATCCTGACTAGTCTCCCAGTCCCTGCTGCTGAAAAACGTCCCCACAGCCTGATGCTGTCACCACCATGCTTCACCGTAGGGATGGTGCCAGGTTGCCTCCAGACGTGACGCATGGCATTCAGGCCAAAGAGTTTAATCTTGGTTTCATCAGACCAGAGAATCTTGTTTCTCATGGTTTGAGAGTCTTTAGGTGCCTTTTGGCAAACTTCAAGCAGGCTGTCATGTGCCTTTTACTGAGAAGTGCTTCTGTCTGGCCACCCTACCATAAAGGCCTGATTGGTGGAGTGCTGCAGAGATGGTTGTCCTTCTGGAAGGTTCTCCCATCTCCACAGAGGAACTCTTGAGCTCTGTCATCGGGTTCTTGGTCACCTCCCTGAACAAGGCCCTTCTCCCCCGATTGCTCAGTTTGGCCGGGCGGCCAGCTCTAGGAAGAGTCTTGGTGGTTTCAGACTTCTTCAATTTAAGAATGATGGAGGCCACTGTGTTCTTGGGGACCTTTAATGCTGCAGACATTTTTTGGTACCCTTCCCCAGATTTGTGCCTTGACACAATCCTGTCTCTGAGCTCTACGGACAATTCCTTCGACCTCATAGCTTGGTTTTTGCTCTGACATGCACTGTCAATTGTGGGACCTTATATAGACAGGTGTGTGCCTTTCCAAATAATGTCCAATCAATTGAATTTACCACAGGTGGAATCCAATCAAGTTGTAGAAACATCTCATGGATGATCAATGGAAACAGGATGCACCTGAGCTCAACTCCGAGTCTCATAGCAAAGGGTCTGAATACTTATGTAAATAAGGTATTTCTGTTTTTATGTTTAATAGATTTGCAAAAATGTCTAAAAACCTGTTATCGCTTTGTCATTATGGGGTATTGTGTGTAAATTGATGAGGATTTATATTTATTTAATCCATTTTAGAATAAGGATGTAATGTAACAAAATGTGGAAAAAGTCAAGGGGTCTGAATACTTTCTGAATGAATACAGTGCATTCGGAAAGTGTTCTGAACCCTTGACTTTTTTTTTCCCTCATCAAGGATGATCAATGGAAACAGAATGCACCTGAGTCTCATAGCAAAGGGTCTGAATACTTATCTAAATAAGGTATTTCTGTTTTTTATTTTTAATACATATGCAAAACTTTCTAAAAAGCTGTTTTTTCGCTTCGTCATTTTGGGGTATTGTGTGTAGATTGATGAGGAAAATGTTTTATTTAATACATTTTAGAATAATGCTGTAACGTAACCAAATGTGGAAAAAGTGAAGGGGTCTGAATACTTTC